GTACGGTTTCAGGATGCTACTCCTGAACCCGGGGAGGGCGCGTTTTGGGCAGGAACCCTAGGAATTTCTGAAGACGGAGCTATGGCCTTGCAGCCCTTTTTTGGGAGCTGGGGGAAGAGAGGAGCGGGTCAGGGCTGTGCCTTCGGAAAGGCAGGTAGGCAGGCCCCCGGGCTGCAGCGCTGACCTCTCCCCGCTCCCAGACTTCCTCCCCTTGAAGTGCGATGCCTGCGAGCAGATCTTCTGCACCGACCACATCGCTTACGCCCAGCACGACTGCACCTCTGCCTACAAGAAGGTAAGTGTGGAGAGGAGGTCTCATCCAGCCTCTTGTACGGAGCTGCTGAGCTTTCCCCGCCAGTGAATGAAACAATTTGTGCCTTCTTTGATCACCTGGGCAATCCCCTTGGGATGGGCGCTGAGTCTGGAGGTGTCCCTGAAAGCCAGGGTCTGTATCTCAGTGCCACAGACTTCCAGCCTGCCTTCTGCCGCTGGGTGAAATGGTTTGGACATCTCCCAGCCCTGCTATCGTCCCTTCCCAGAGTGTGTGTCTGTGCCTGTCGCCCCTCCTGGGTCAGAAACAGCACGCTGTTGGGAGGGTGGTGAGCAGGGTCTCAAACCCCAGGTGATGCTGTGGAAGCTGTGTCAGGCAGATCCTGAAAGGGAGAGAGATGGCCACCCAGCACTCGAGGTTGCCCAGCTACACGCTCCCAGCCCCCTTTTCTTGTCTCTACAGGATGTGCAGGTCCCTGTGTGTCCCCTCTGCAACACCCCGGTCCCCGTGAGGCGGGGGGAGATGCCCGATGTTGTGGTGGGTGAGCACATTGACCGTGACTGCAAGTCCGACCCCGCACAGCGCAAGCGCAAGGTAGGAACCCGGCGCGCTCCGTCTCGCTGCTGAGCTCCGCTGAGTCCCTGCTGAAGCCTGGGGGTGGGATGAAACAGCCCAGGGCTCGGCCCTGCCCGGTGTCGTGTCTGTTGGCACGAGCTGTGGGCAGGAAGGGTTGGTGAGCTGGAAGTGTGCTCACCTGCGGGGCTTTGTGGTGTGAGTCTGGGGCTGAGGCAGCCACATGGGATGTGAGGATGGGAAATTGCATGCTGCCATTAAGAAAATGCCATCAGCAATTAGCTGCCTCATCTTGCCAGGAGAAGAAATTGCTGCGAGGAGCTGGCCCTGCAGGAATCTAGCCAGGCAGCAGCTGGTGGGCTTTGGGCTGTCCCCACTATGCTGGCAGGGCAGGCCGGAGTCCCTGGGCCAGGCAATCTCTCTCCTGCTGTGCATTCTGTGATCATGCAGACCCTTGTCTGTGGAGAATGAAGCGCAGGTGAACTGCTAATAAACTTATGTAAAGAAAACTAGTGTTCAGAGACACACTCCAGAGCCCCGTGGAAGAGGGGCTGGTGGGGAAAGCTGGTCAGGGCCTGGCATGGAGGGAAAGGACAGCCCCAGCCCTGCAGGGCACGTTCCTTTTCATCACCGCCATGTCGTCTTTCAGATCTTCACCAACAAGTGTCTGAAGCCTGGCTGCAAGCAGAAGGAGATGATGAAGGTGATCTGTGACCAGTGCCACAAGAACTACTGCCTCAAGCACCGGCACCCCCTGGACCATGACTGCAGTGGGGCAGGGCGTCCCCTCTCCAAAGCAGGGTGAGGGCCTGGGGACAGGTGGGCTGGCAGGGCTGGGGCAGTGCTTGCCGGATGGGTGGCAGGGAAGAAGCTGAGCTCCTCCTGGCCCGTTGCCTGGGACTGCTGCATTCTCACACTCCCTGACCTGTGTGCTGGGGTGTCCTCCAGCAGCTTTAAGGCTTGTAGAGTCAGTGCAGCTGTGTACACAGTCTCTCCCTCCTATAGCAAAAGCCTGCTGGCTGTTACTCTTGCTTCTCTGCCCGGGCCCTTATTCTGTAGCTGATAGTTTTTGCTTATCCTGGCACAGTATTTCGAGGAGAGAAACAGCATTTGAAACTCTTGGGCATAGCTGAGCCACAACATGGGTACTCTTGGGAGGAAGAGGAGCAGGGAGCCAGGGAGGTGTCTTGCTTATCCAGTTTCATCTGCCTGGGTACTCAGTGCCCAGGGATGGCTCGTGGTAGTAAAACAGTGGCTCACAGGTGTCCTGTGTGTCCTAGGCACGCTGCGGTCGCGAGAGCACAGGCGTCCTCCTCCAAAACAGTCACCGCATCGAGCAGTGGAGCTGCCCGGCCAGCAGACAGCCCCTCTTCTCCAGCCCCCGCCAGGTAAGGTGGTGGCTTGACTCATAACTCTGAGGTGGGCACAACCAGGCTCAGCGTGGCTCCCTGTGGCACGCAGGAGCGACAGTTCCCTGCTTCTCGTGCATCAGAAGGATTGCATACTCGTGCCAGGGCTCCCTGCCTTGACAATAACGCATCTTCTCTGTTGTTCACAGAGGAGGCAGAGCAGCTGCAGCTCGCAGCACCTCCCCTCCAGCTGTCATGCTGCAGAATGGGCTGGTGAGTGGCCTGGCCTGGGCATTTGGGGTGGATTTGGGTGGTTCCTGTGGCCTGGGGAGCTACTGCAGCAACTGCTTTTTAACCCACGCTCTGTGGGTGACCATGGTGCTCCCCAGCTGGGCCTTCCCTGGCAAACAGGGATCCCAGACACTCACTGGGGCGTCAGAGTTTGCTCTGGTGCCTGCAAACAGCAGCTCTCAGCTGTGCTTGGTGCTCAGCTTTCCCCAAAGGGGCAGAGTGCTCTGGCTGTTTTTCCCTGGGCGTTGTCTTTCTGCTCTGCAAGCCAAGTGTGCAGGAGGAGACTGGAAGCTGCTTCCCACTGGTATTCTTAGCATGCTTCTGGCACTGGCAGGCAGGGCAGGGGTAGAGAGAACAGAGCTGCCGGTCTGTCCTGAGCCCCAGGCCTTCACCTTGTCTGTGTCTGGCCTAGGAGAGGGGAGATGCACCCACCCGAGGCCAGGCAGGACTGTACCTGCTGTGTGTCCCTCAGGGCTGCCTCCTGCCACCCCCAGCCAAGCTGCTGACAAGGTGTTTTGTTTCAGAGTGAGGAAGAGGCACTGCAGCGAGCTCTGGAGATGTCCCTGGCAGAGTCAGCACGCAACTCAGCACAGACACCCAGGTACGGCCGGGGGACACATGGTGTCATGCCCCAAGCCTGTGTGTGAGAGGTGCTCGGGGCAGCATCATGTGGCTCTGGGGTGACATTCCTCTCAGCACGTGGCTCCGGATGATGCCTCTGTGTGGCTGATGGGGGGGTGGGGGAAGGAAGAGTCCAGAGCCATCACGGAGCTCTGTTCATTGAGCAAGCCCTCCGGGGTGCTGTGAGGGGACAGTGAGTGACAGCGCAGAGTAGGGCAAACATTGTCTGACCATTTGTCAGCTAATGAGCATGGCTAGAGTGAGACAGAGGTGGAGTAGGGGTGTTCACAGGGGACACTCAGGAGCCCACGTCCTCGGGCACATTGCCTGGTGCTGCCAAAAGCCCTGTCCAACAGACTGAAGTTAACAGGGTTCTCCTTGGCCCAGGGTGCTGGCTGCCAGCTGGATCCTCTGGTCCCTCCCCAGCCCCTGGGCTGGTCGGGGTGATCCTCAGTTGCTCCCTGCCCTTAGCCATCCTAGAGAGTTGCAGTGACAGGAGATCCTGACACCCCGAAGGGCTCTTTTTGCTGCTGAGCCCCAGGGGAGGCTGAGGCACAAAATGCACCGCTGTCCCCAGCAGCACGCAGGAGGAGGAGGATCTGGCCCTGGCCCAGGCGCTGTCAGCGAGCGAAGCCGAGTACCAGCAGTCGCAGCGGCAGGTGAGTGGGGCTGGCTGCAGGCTCTGCACCACGGTGGGGTTGATCCTGGCCTGGCTGTGCCGGGCAGGGGTCCTCCCTGGGTTCGGCTTCCTCTGGGCTCTGTCTGGGGTCATGTCCCTCACCCAGCACAGCCTGGGTGGCAGTGGCACTGCGGAACACATCACCCTGGGGACATGAGCACTGAATGTGCCCCTTCCTAGGACAGAGGAAGAAGCCTGCCTTCCCTTGCTCACTGTGTGCTGCTTCCCGTTCCAGGCGCAGGGCTCGAAGCCATCCAACTGCAGCATGTCGTAGGCCAGCGAGGCAGGGTGTGCCAGCGGACGTGGGATCCCGCTTGTGACCCGAGGAGCGACTCTGGCTTGGACACCAATGACAAGAGCCCCTCGCCAAGGACAACTCCTCTCCCTGGGGGCTGTAAGCGAGCCACCAAACACACACTGACATCTCAGCCCTAGTACCTGTATAAAATCAGTGCAGCCAATTGCTGATGCTCCTGGAGAGGTGAAGACGGTGTGGGGCGAGGCTGAGCACACGCTGACCAAAGCAAGCAGCAGCCCACGGCGTGCACTTAGCCCC